ATTTCCCAGACAACATTAGTCTTTGCCAAACAACAAACATTATGGAAATCCAAAAACATTTCATGCAAAACTAAGATTCGATTGCTCAGTGCACTAGCTATTAGTACATTTACATATGGCTGTGAAACGTGGACCTTAACAGCTAAATTCAAAAGAAAGATACCAGTATTAGAAAGGCGATGTAAAACGGATGTACACGCAAAACTCAGGTCAAGGTAAAAGCCAAAAGTCCATTTTGGACGAGCAACCGTGACTTACCGCCGGAATTCACAGCCGGTGAACAAGAAGAAGAAGAAGAAGAAAGGCGATGTTTCAGAAAAATTCTTGGCATATTATAGAGAGACCACTTTACAAACGAGGAGGTTTATCATAAAATTAAACAGCACATTGGCAACTACGAACCTCTTTTAACTACAGTGAAATGGCGAAAAATGCAATGGTATGGACATGTTGTATGATCTGACGGACTCTCAAAAACAATACTGCAGGGCTCAGTAGAGGGAAAGAGGGGAAGAGGTAGATCAAGAAAGACCTGGTTACATAACCTGACTGACTGGGCAGACCTCAAGCATGCAACCATGAAGTCCATCGCAACTGACTGCCAAAGGTGAAGAAAGCTAGCAGACAGTCAACATGAACTGGTGACCCGACAAGTAGTGTTATGGGATGCTGATGAAGTACATGGGTAATACACTGCCGAAGATGTATCACAGAGATCAAGAACAGAATAGGACAGGTCAAGGCTACGTTTTATAAAATGAAGAACATTTTATGCGCACACAAAAATCCACGTCATTGGAGGTTAGGAAACAAAAATATCGCGTGTTATATAGAGCCAACTTTAACATAGGGCTGTGAAGCCTGGGCGTATGTGACACGATCGAACAATTTATTTCTAGAGGCCGAATAAGTTCTTGAGGCCTCAGAGATGTGGTTTTGCAGAAGAATCCGTAGAATTCCTTGGACCGCCAAAAAGAGCAACCCGTGTGTTTTAAAAGTGACGACGGCTCAAAGACAACATATCACAAACATTAGAAAGAGGCAGACATCATTTTTTTTAGTCACGCTATGAGAAGATGGAAACTGGAAAATGTTGTGACCACTGAAAAGATCTGTGGAAAGAGAGACAGCGGAAAGCAGTGTGAGAAGATTCTTGACAACCTTTTGTAATGGCATGGAGAGGGGTGTCAACACATATACTGATATACTCAGATGTGGATCGCAGATTGCAGAGAGGCATGATCGCCCACGCCAGTTGGCAAGGTACCTTATGATGATGATTACTGAATATGATTCAGTGTTTTATAATGCCACTATTTATACATAAATTCGTGTAGGCGATTCAGAGGTTTCATGTTGTAATTTGTATGTGTATATTTTGTATTAGGATTCAGCGTTCTCTTATATCATTACTTCTATGCCATCTCGACCGGTCCAGTGCGTATACTACTTCAGTTCGTAGATAACGACATATATAATAGTTGGCCCACAAATATACAGACCAGCAAAGGTCAATGCCGTCAAAAAGTGACATCACATTTCACATGATTGTTTTTTTTTATTTTCCTTATCACAAAGATCTAGATGGTTGACACTATGAAAGGACGAGAGATCGTGTCATATACGCTAGCTACAATGCACGAATTCCCCGTGTCGGTTGCAGGGCCCTGTTATATGGAGAACAAATATAGACCCACCGCCTACCCAAAAGCATGTCGTAAGAGTCGACTTATTAGGAGCTTCCTACAAAGTCAGAGTGCATCTGCCTGAGAGGCAAGGAACCAACAGTCTGCATACAGATTAGTCAGATCTGTCAAACAGATGCACAAAAACACTTAAGTTCTGGAACAGGACTGCAGTCCAGAAGTGGACGAACAACCAGAACTTTCCGCTATAGTTTACAGCTGTTGAGTGAAGAAGAAGAATGCTCGAATGGCTTGAATGGCTGCAGAAATTACTTTTTAACTTAAACAAAATATTTCTAATTAGCTGGTAGTTTCTTGGCCAATACATTTTGGTTAGTCATACAGTCAAGATAGGCGGGGAAACTTGAGAGTCAGGGAAACTATAGACCTGTGATTGTGTTTCCCACGAAGAGTTTTGATTATCAACGTTCACAATGAAGAAATCCTAGAAAACGTTCTATTTCCACGCATGGAAAAGTACTGGACGTATAACACTAGCCCGTATATGACCAATCGGCACTTAGCGAGTGTTGTGGTATCCTTTTTGGTTATTTATATATTTGCCCCCACCGCGTCCCCCTTTTTTTTCCACTAAGCACATTTCTTTTAATCCATTTTAGGCTTTACAGACAAGGAAGGGAGGGCCAGTTTGTTGTTGCATTACATATGTTGTTGCAGTTACCATAAAAGACCACTTGACCACTTCCTCTTGTAGTTGTTCCGTCGACCTAATGCATATGTATACACGTGTTTAGGCTGTCATGTGTTTGCCAAGTTACGGTGATGTTGACAAGGATATAGCCCAGTAGCAGTGCAATCACAAGCATGTTATTGACCCTACGACATAAACAATACCAGGACATAATTGGTTAGATTTGCAATAATGTTTATTGGCTTTTGCTTGCACATTTGTCAGTGACCTCAAAGGTTAAGGAAACTGCTGTACATTTACGTGGGTGGTGTAGTCCGTTCAGCGGGTTGTTAGAAATCATTGTACAAATGCATTTTCCAAATAGATACTAAACAAACGATAATAAAAACGCCATGTTTTGCACTTTTAGTAGACTTCTGAGCTCTTTGTTTTCTACGAACAAGGAAAGCTCGTGTTCTTTCTCTGGATGGGACAAAGAGGCCTGGATACAAAGCCCACACGGTACAGTCTCACCCACGTGCCCGGGCACGAACCTGTCTCTATTCACGGGTTTTCTAGGTCACAGCTGACTGCTATCTTCGATCGGGTTTACAAGCTCTGTCCCGGTTTTTCTGGGGAAACTTGTCTGTCCCATTACTTGTGTCTGTTAGGAGTGGTGGAGTGACTCTAGTCGCAGCCTGTGAAATAAGTGGCTGTGGTACAAAACTTGCAGTAGTTACCGAAAGGCGGAGACTGAGGACAGAGATTGCTTTATTAAGAATCTCACAGTTCAGTGAAGAGGCCCAATACACATCCCCCCACCCCCCCCACCCCCCCCCCCCACAGTGTCTTTCTGAATCGCATTTAAAAAAATATAACATTAAATTTTAAACAAAAGCTTTAAAATGAGAACTATGTACGTGGTTAGCCGTATCATTTAGTCATCTTGCAATTCCAGTTTTAATTTCTCAGTCCCCTAAGTATTTTGTGGGCGACTCCGCACCCTAAAATATGTATGGTGGGGTAGGGGTCAAGGTGCGTGAGCCTCCAGATCCCGGCGCCTGTGAAAATATGAATATATTAAGTATTAGAGAAATGAGATGAAGAGATGTGGGGAAGATAATTTCATTGTTGTATGGTCACCTTGTTGATATCATTATCATACAGGTGTGTCCACCACCAGCAGAGAGCAGGCCCAAGGATGCAGATGCCATTCATCATGAGTTCCACATTACACTAAACGAATGCACATTCAGAGAGATACACGGAACAGAATATGGCCAACTAAAGGCGTATTTTACAATAAGAAGAACACCTTCCGCAGTCTTTCTGTCATTGCATGCTCTACATAATAGTTGTTTTAAAATATGGCCGTGAATCCTGGGCAATTTGAAAACAAACAACAAATTCATTATTGTCTTAGAGAACGGTTCTGCAAATGCACTGGACAGTGGAAAGAGTAATTTAAGACTGTAAAGAAGGTTAAGACACACAAACAACTGATCATAAACAAAACAGAGACGTGTCATTGTTGCCACATTATAGAAAGAATGATAAACGCCCAGGTAAACATATGGTTTATAGAAGAGAACATACAGGAGTTATCTTTTTCTTCTCCCCCTCTTCTAATCATCATATAGACCAAAAAAAAAAAAAAAAACAGGACCGCATTTAGGCTTGATAAAGCCATAAGACCCCTGATGTTTTAAATGACAGCAGCTGATCTCAGATAAGTTTGTAAAATGTACGACAATCAACAGGATTGTAAGAGCCGAGGTCCTACCTCTCACATTAGTAGAAATGTTAACAGAGAGAGCAAACGGAAGTATCCGGGAATTACATTTGACAGGAGACAGTGCGTCAAGGATCATGTGGAAATATATATTCGTTTAATCTTTATTAAAAGATATTTAAAAAAAAGAATGTGTTTGCAAAATAACAGAAATTAGATGACATCATCCTCTAAAAGGCTATATATTAAACTGTCAACTGATTTTTGAGCAAGTTAGAATACCTAAAAGCCAGGGTTCATATATATCTAACATAATAAATTGGAAAATGTGGGGTTGAAAAAAAGGAGGGGGGAGGGGCAGGGGTAATATATTTAAAAAAAAACTGCATTTGTGAGAGGTCGGGCAGAGTGTGAGGCCTAAAGCTGTAGCTTGTTTAGTTGATACATAACTCCGTCACTGAAGAGAAGGGCAATGAGAGAAGATTCTTGAGAGCTTTGTGTCCATGCAAGGCAGTTTGTCAGCACAGGAATTGACCAGCTGTTGACGATAGCCTCTGCGAGATATTTATGATAGCCTGTTTTACTTCAGATGTCTCATGCAAACATCGACAACATTCTTTTGAAGAAAAGATAGGGCAACATGTGCATGCAAGAATTCAAGCATCTCTAATAACCTAGCCGTACTTCTGCTACAGCGACCTGCGCCTATTTAGTTAAATTTGGGCTACAGCGTGACCGCCTTTGTACCCACTGACTTAACCTTCTGTCTGTGCATTTATTCGGTCAGCCGCCAGCCAATGAAACGCACGCCAGCCGCAGAGGGCAACGCTCTCGTGATAAAACTACCGACAGCCGGAGCGCACAAAGCATTCTCCTCAAGCTCGGACTACCATCCTGTAACGTGGTCGCTCGCATCTGCTCTTTTCTACGTTTCAACTAGTAACCAGACATCATGTACACGGAGTTCCAGATTCAGTGCGCCCTTTTGATGGCTTCAGAAATTTCTTTGAGTAAACTTAGTGAGGATTTTGGAGAACGCAGCGACCCCACTGTTGAAAAAGCGCAGAGGTAAGGACAAGTTTGTTTCTGCTTTACATCTTATTTTTACCATGTCGGGACAGATGCGTGCTTACAGCGTGTACGCGCATTGCAGCATGGGAGAGAGCTGTTTAAAAAAAAAAAAGATTGTTTAAAATTGTTTATCGTATGTTTTAGCACACAGAACTGACCATTGGAACTTGGACAACCCGACGTGCAGAACTGCACTGCAGTTAGTACTAGTAGTGTATACTTGTGTATTCAGATATCGCACTAAAAGTCGCTCTTTGTTTTTGTTATTAAAAAATATGTTTGCTTGCATTGTAACCTGCACCTACGTAGACCTGCGGTTAACAGTTATTCATGCATCGGCTAACTATTGTGCTTTTGACCCTCACGTATTGTACAGACGTCACAATCACATGCCATGCCTGCCGATGGCCCGACCGAAGAAGACAAAAGCTTGAAGCCTGCAACGTTCAGCATGCGTGTAAGGGTCTCGCCCACTCGGGACGTGTGCACTAAAAATAGACGGCCGTATCTCGCAATACCTAACACGTCGATCGGGTCGATGATGTAGCACGTAGGAGTGCGGTCTGCCAATTACGCAAACTAGAACACACCTGCCTGCAGCAGAGGGGACATTTCTGGTGCTTACTGGTACAAATCTGGATATTGAGAAATGCATAGAAAAGTTGGGGGGGGGGGGGGGGGGTAGGAAGAGGTTGCAGTCCGCACACTTTTCGAAATGTGCAATTAATATTATTAGGAATATGGTATTTTTATAGGTAGGTGAAAGTTAAAAAGTAACATTTACACACACAGAAGGTACATTGATGTAAAGGCTTAACTGACTGTGATAAAGATAACACCCAGTTAGTCAAAATGCTTGTTTATGAGGCAGTGGGTCTATTCTTGTATCCCCATAATGAGGCCCTGGAACCCACACAGATAGCACAGACTTGTACAATATAAGGTTGTAATTATTACAGTCTTAACATTATCTTTGTGGCCCAGTTCTGGATTCTATAACTGCAATTTGACTAAAGTCAGTATCTTACTCTTATCGAATTGCAGTTATAAAAATATTTAGTGATTTTAGATTCTAGGCTTTAAAATTAAAATGTACAGCCAGTCGTGGTTGATGTGGCCTTGAAGAGAGAAAATCATCCTTACAGAATAAACAGTTATTGAGTTTATGGCATATAACAGTTTGTGCGGTATGAACAGTACTCTTCTAATTATTCTGCTGAGGGTGCATGAGCTGATGTGTTACAAAGGTCTTTTGTTCTTTGTTACACATAGCATGGTTGACTCTACACACAACTGTACATTTTGTGTTCAGTTCTCTACCCAACAATAGTCAGTACATCTTATGTCATGTAGTCAACAGTAAATTTTACATACAACTCTGTAGTCAACAGTAAACCTAGCAATAGTCAGTATATGTTATGTTCAATTATGTCACCACCCATGGTTCATATGTTCGTTTCTAAATTGGATACTGATACATCCTATGTTCATTGATTTTTCACAGCCTATTACAAACTCTTCTAAACCCTGCTTCAGTTAGTTGTTCAGGCTACCCACTTGTGTGTTTTATTACCACCCCTCCCTGAATTTGGTCACCCTGCTTTTTCCCACACTGTCTTGCTTGGTACTCAAAACTCCCAGGTCTCCTTTTATTGTTATGTTAAATAAGACTTCACAGAGTTAATGTTTTTGTTTGCAGGACCTGGTTGACAATCAGTGAAGCTTTGGCCATCACCCTGAAACAAGCTATGTGTCAACATAGACTGACAATGGGTGTCTACGACTGTGCCAAGCTGCTCAGTAGGTAGGTACTGGTCTTGTTCTCTAATGGCATAGTATCAGTAATGTAATTGATGTTAAAATAGATAATGTAATCTGTCAGTTTAACATAATTAATTATTGTAACATACCGGCAGCTGTGTTGACAAAGGTAACCAGTCATTTATCATGTTGGTTCCCAGTGTGGGGGGAGGGGGGGAGATAGTCCTACTGCCTTCCTAACAAACCAGTTGTACAAGAAGATTCATTAGGGTAGTTTTCTATATAGGAAGAGGGCATCTGCATGAGAACAAATAGTCTGCATACAATTTGAGATCTGTAAAACAGTTGTGCATGCAAAATCACCTTCTAGAAAAGTCCAGAAATGTAGTAACAATAAGTAACCTACCAAAGTTTGCAGCTAGTGAATGCTAATTAGAAGAGATTAAAAAATTAGGTGATATAATCAGCTGTTTAAGAGTATTGGAAGAAGTCATTTAAACAAAATGTCATTAGCTATTTGTGAATATTGTTAGCTTAGTGTGAACTAATTTTGAAACCATTTCCCTACTGCGATTTTAACAATTAGTTTGAACTTGATTTCAAAACCTGTTCCTAATTCTTAACTGTGTAGAACACATGGTTGCAATGAATAAGTTTACCGACAGCCAACTAAAGTGACAAAATATCTTGCTGCAAACTAGTCTTAAGACTAAATCATTTAATCTAGCAATGGCACATATTAACAATGTTTACATTTGTGTTGCAGCTCACCCAACCGAGTAATGCTGTGTGTTTTGCCAGAAATTTCAACCAGCGATGTTGCTATGCACATACATCATACACTGATCAAATCATTTTGCTGGGAGCATGACATTAGACTTCTCACTGTAAGTGAATCGCAAACAATTCAAATTGTCTTTCGTACATCTAACAGTTAATAACAGACTGACATTTCTCCCAGTAATTGCATCATTTCTGTAGCATCCATTAACAAGTGTAATGGTATGAGACAGTACAGTCTCATTAATTTAGCTCTGTCACCTCGGAATATCAAAATGTGGCACCAGTTTGAAAAAAATCTAATCAGTTACAATTGAAAAAAAAAAATTAAGGAGTCCTTAATTCCCAAAGTTAAACTAAACAAAGTTACTTACAGTGAAGTTGGCGTGTGTGCATGTGACAGAGAGAGAGAGAGAGAGAGATTGTGGTGGATAGACGGGGACCCTTTACGAGGACTTATTTTGAAGCTGCTAAGAAAAGCAGCCTTTCAGAACAGAAAATATTAACAACATTGGCCAGGAAGCTTTTTTAAGTCATGAGCATCCTTTGTATATCATTTAAATGTATGCTTACTGGAAAACACCAGTTAGAGTACTTTTCAGGAACTGGGCATTATAAAGTGGCATTAGTGGGAGCTAGGCACTACCATTTGTTGCTTCTCGCTGTGAAGGGGTTAACTGTCAAATAAAGAACATAGTAGCAGAATCATGTTATTTATTTTTAACTGTAGGCTTGTATTTAGTTTAACTGTTAACTTTTATAATAAATGTTACATGTTATTACCTGTGTAATCCTTAATACTTGAACCAACAAAATCCCGTAGTCTCTTATCAACGTGTCCTGTCTTTTATCGTCAGTATCAGGTTGTTCTGTTATCAACATAATCCTGCCGTTTTGATCATCATTTTATTTCTTTAATCCTCAACATAATTCAAATATCAGTATAATGTTCTGTTTTTTAATTCTTTGCAACACACCCCTACTTTCTGCTATGGAAGATATACACTTGCATGTGCTATATCATCTGAATCATCAGCGAAGGTCTTGTTGATGTTTTCTCTCCACGATCTGAAGTATTTAGCAGCCTGTATGTTTGTATGCTGACATCCTTTCATAGCCATGACAAAAGGCTAGCAAGAATCTTCTTGTGTTGTCTTCTTCAGTCTCTCTTTCCACAGATCTTTCTGATGGTCACATGTTCTAGTTTCCTTCTTCTCAAAACATAGCCATCTAAATAAAGCTTAGAATATAACTCCTGTTTTATGATAATTTCCCTACTTATAATTTTGTGTTATTTTATAAACAGGTGAAAAACCAACAGAGCTTGCTTGATCTTGTCAAGGGCACCCCAGAGTACTCAGAAGCTACATCAGATACTATGCTGTGTCTGCTGGTGGAAAACCCAACTGATGGAAACAGCGAAGCAGACACATTCGTCTGTGGATATCACGATGCAGTAATGTTGAGTGACATTTTCCCAAAACCAGTTATACATCTTCCAGACTGAACATTGAAATGTCCATATACATTCTTAAAATACCAGCTCCACAAACTGGAGTCTCCAAAAGTCCTGGTCAAATCCCTGGCTACTGGGCAACTCGTCCGCTGATGGCCGGAGTGTGTCAACGATCCCCGTTGTCATGCCTACAGAGTCATCACATTGGCATCTACCGCCTGAGATAAGGATATGATGCAGGTACAGTGAATTGATGAAACCACCTGAGCCCTCACACCAAACTGACAAGCGTTGGGCCATTGAGCAATTTCACTGAATTTACTTGATTTGTTGAGTCTTTATTCATTTATCATTTGAAGTACTGAAATTCAAGACAGTTTCACTTCCTTTTCCTGTTCATATTTGTTAAGAACATTCTTAATTCTGCTTGTGTCTTAAGCTAATTATTTAAGCATCTGTATTTTTCAATTGCTAAGTGTTAAAAATGAGCTGGTTAATGAATGAGAACACAGTGACCAGATAGAAAAGTTTCTCACAGATCGAACATGAATATTATTGAATATCACGTATCTAATGTTATTGCATTCTGTGGAATGGTTGATAAATTTTAAATAAGCCTCATAAATTGTCATATTTGGTTTTGTGTGTGTGTTACATTTTTCTCTTTCTCCGAAAGGATATTTGCACTCACGCATACACACATGATTATTCTGCTGCTTGCAACTCCCTGTGCAAGGTCACTGGAATAAGGTTCCACTTTTATAGTTTTGCTAGTGCAAGAAACAAAGTCAAACATCTCCATACCTTTTTGTTTAGTAGGATCACAGCTCACACAACCGTGAGATAGTGTTGTGAAATGAAAATGAAATTGGATATTGATCACTATTAGAAGTCAACAAACATTCATATATACTAGATTAAAAAAAAATTAAAAACAAGCAAATGTTTTTGTTGCTATTATGTTTGTCTGTCAACCTTTCTATTATGACCTATGTAGCACAGTGGTTTCAGCTACAGGCGTAAGGGAAATTAAGATCATTGTGATATATATGTAAAGAGATACTCCATAACTTACCTTGGGCGCCATCAGGCTCTATGCTGGTTTTTATGGATCTTTAAGCAAGACTTTTGCCACGCCCTCGTTGTATGCTACGGATAATGGCCTAACTGAGCTGGCATAGGACTCAGAGAGTGGGTGGCCGCCATAGATGCAGTGCTCTGGCACTCGCTAGCCCATCCCCTGTGCATGGGGGGTAACGTAAATGGAAATCTCATTAGGAACATGAGCGTGCTGGCTGTGACAGATCTGGGTTCACATACCTGAAAGTCTTGTATGACAAACCTTGGTTCAAATGTCTGTCGACTGAGACGCCCACTCAAGACAAACCTGAGCAGCTATACAGTGGCTACTGTATGGCTGCTTATGTTCATCTGTCCATTGTATGTCTGTCGCTCAAAGATCCTACTTTCTGACACATGCAGTTATTTAATTGACAGATTATTCTCCTTGCACATAGGACAAGTCCATAAGCACTTGGATCCCATCTTCTTGACACATAAAGTTCAAACTTCTGACAGTAGCAACACCCAGTGTTAAGTGACCATGCAGGAAAGTCATGCCTGCTGCATGCCATTGTCAGAGAGAGAAGTCCAACATGCTGAGGAAATGAATTGCCCATTTCTACAGGGAGTCTGAGTTTCAGGACTACTGACTGCTTCCTGAGGATTCCTGAAGGGCATAACCCATAATGAGTGGAAGGGTCATTATATAGAGATTTTATATCCTGGATAGATGATTCCTTAAGTGAGCCAAATACCAGAGCACTACGTATTGGCTGAGCATTTATGCCAGTCTCCTTGGATGGCAGAAATTCCCATGCTCAGCTCCTGCCTTCCCTTGAGTGATGACCAATCTACATGTGGCTGCCCTGTGTGGGCTCTCCTGGGGGGGGGGGGGGAACAACCTGTGCATCAGGGGATGATGAATTCACAGCGCATGAGAGACTACAAATATCCCACGAAACTAACCAGATATGCTAACCCTGATAACAAATACCCAGTAAAGTTGGATTTATTAGCCAAAAGGCTCGAATGTGGTAGCGCTTCCATAAATAAATAGGCACAGTGCACATTTGTCATTTGAACAAACAAAGAAGAAGAATATATATATATATGTAATTTTGTTGGCACTTTTTTTTTTTTTTTAAATCCCAAACTGAACCACTGCACCTTAAAAGCATGGAGGGTTTGCTGAAATTGCATGTGTCAGGCTGAAAGGCACAGATATCACAGCCTAGTTGTACTTAACAGATTGTGTCAAACCGTTCTAGGCTCTTTCAGTACCAAACAACCCCCTACATGTTTCTTTATTGCTGGAAAGATAACCAATCTTTGCTAACTTCTGTCACAGACAGGTCTTATAATAACCCTTTGTATCAGGATCATTTGTTTGCTTCTGTCCCAAAATGTCTTTGCTGAACCTCGTCAGGTCAAGTCCAACTGCTGGCAGCAGAAGCCACTACAGTAATAACAGCCTGGGACTGAAAGAGTTCAACAGAAGAAGAAACAAAATATATTTACTAATAGTATACAGTTAAGCAACAGTCAACTCGTGACATCTTTTGACCCATTTTTAAGTTCTAAAACCGCACTCAGCTTATTAGCACATTTATGTTTATTCTAGCTTTAAATAAATGGAGGTGAATTGCCCGAGTATAATAAAATGGAGGGGCAGTAAATCTTCCGCAGAAAAAAAGGGAAGTAAAAATGTTCAGGCATTAAAAAAAAATAGAAGTACTTAGTTTATAAATTTATCTGTTAAGCAATGTCTGCAAGCTGGTAATAAAGCAGAACTGAGGTCTGTTTACCACATCTGTGCTGCTTCAATCTGTGTGTCGTGTCCTGGATGCCAGCTGATACATAGGCCTCGTAACCAGGCGGCGCAGCCACCTTGAGCGGTCCCTTCCATATTTGAACGTTCTGTTTTTAAGCACTTGTTTAAATATTTAGTATTATTTTTCTCTCTTTTTTTTTCTTCAGTTTCCATTCAGCACATAACAATAATAATTGGTATTGTGTAATTAAACACGGCTTAAGCTCCTCCCGTTCAACAAACATTTTTAGACTCAAAACAAAAACTGACTGACTGACTTTCTACCCCACTAGGATATCACACAAGCGATAAACACCCGATGACACAAAGTGCCACCATGTGGGTGAGGATCACCGTGCTGAGGTCCCAGAAACCGCATTCAGACAATTGGCCATATTTATGGCCTGCCTATATTGCGGCCCCTGGCAAAAGCCAGGGTGGGGCTTCAAATAACAAAAAATTTCGTCCTAAAAAGGACGAAACAACTAGCAGATGCTAGAAGTAGATTATAGAAAAAAAAAATAACAAAATAACCTTTTTATTGCGGAGTAGTCCTATGACAAATTTAGGAATGGGGCAACGCAGCCTCCCCTCCCCCTTTTTTTACTGGGGGGGGGGGGCAAAGCGCCTAAAACCCCAAGTTCCGGGGCCATGGTCAGCAAGTACCTGAAGAAGTCGGATGAAAATATCAAAGGTGTATAAAAGCATGCACCGCGTAAAGAGATAATGAGAATAAATCGACAAACAGCACCCAAAAGTCCCTTGGTGAACCCTTAATTCAAGATGTAGCAACAGACATTATTTAAGTAGAATTGTAAAGAAAGATAGGGACCAGAAGTAGATGAGTATGATGTATAGGAAAAAGCATGGTGTCATGGAGAAGGAAGGGCGAGCTCAGGATGGTCTCAGTACAGTAGTACCTGCTAGCAACACGAGGTAACATCCTTTGGTTCGCGCAGATGTCAGCTTTTCACTCACTTGAAATGAATACAAAGATTTGTAATGCTGCGACAAAGGTTTGTAGTATTGTTGCAACTTGCTGCGGCAGATGTGACAGAGACCAGGTAACAGGAGAAAGGAATTGGTTTTTGGCTGGTCGCGTTTTATAGGTGCTTTGAGACAGGTGTTGGTTCAGAAAGTCTGCATCGTAGAAATCTAAGTGGGCGGGAATCAATACTATGGGAAGTGTCAAGGCCTGACAATGTATATTTTAAACCCAGCCACTCAGGTCACTTTGGCTGGCAATGTTTTATTAATTGGCTGCTGATACAGTCGTTGAGGAGATCAACGAAGGGCTGATTAACATTACATAATAATTAGCCAGCATTGGGGGGGGGGGGGGGGGGGGGGGGGAATACTTCCCCACAATTTCGAAACAATGACTTCTGATGCAGCCCCTTTTGTATTTACTCGTGTACATTCAGATAATTACATTTTACAACTTTCCTCTTTATTTATTGAAAAAAAAAAAAGGATTATACAACAATTACCGTTTCCATTTTTTCTACGTTACGTTATCACGAACGACTTGGTTCACACATGCTTTCCCATGCATGCTCATTCCTTCGATGTAGCAGCCATCACAAGGCTGCTGTCTTATACAAAGTATGTCCCACTCAATCAATCAATATCAGTGCAAAACTTGTAACCACGAGAAACGTCGGTGCAAGCCCCACATTTCGGGTCGCTGTTTGAATTACAAAAGACAGTGAAGTTCATACTAGAAACAGAATTGCAGCCATAGATAATCTACTTCAAGCGAACGGAAGAAGAAAAGAACCAATAATTTTATTAGGGGACTAACAAATCTCCTTGAACCATGCATATGCATTTTCTTTGAAATTATTTGTTTATACGTTTCATAATATTTCCAGTACTGGATTGTATGTTTGTTGTTGTTGCTATCCAGCACATTTCACAGCATCATTATTAGTAATAATCCTAATGTGCTGAATATCAAATAAATAATTGGTTTCAAATGATATGAAATATAAAAACGAATACTTTCAAAGATTATATATATATATATATATATATATATATATATATATATATATATATATATATATATATATATATATATATATATACATACATACTGTTAAAGAAAGTATCAAAGGCCCCTTAAAATATTATTTAGGGCAGACCCTAAGCCTTCGTTAAGTTTTGTGTGTTGGCG